ACTGAGATATATTTTTAGTTTTAGTACAAATGAAAGAGGTATGTATGTCTGTTTTTCACGAAACAAGTGTATGCATTAAATATTCTTAGTTTTAACTGATAAATGTAAACGGAAGTTATTTTACCAGGTATTTCACAAGCAAAGTACAATAGGGTATGGTGCGTACATACTTCTATGTCCGTTTCACTATTTATATTTACAGACAGGGGGGGACCAACTGATTTTGACCAGCCATACCTTTTTTTCAAGTATGTACTATGTTTTTTAATTACTTCCAATAGAGCTTTGAAACACTACGTAGTACTTTTCGCAAGACCTTGTTGTTGTAGTGTAAAATGTCTAGAGATCATTAGGTTTACGGTTTGGTTGCCTAGTCATGCAAAATGTTTGTTTAAATTATTTCACAGAAAAATTCTTGTACCAGGCTCATGTTTGGAAGTAGGTCACATCACTGCTGCGCCTGAGGAGATCCGCTTATCATCACTTACTTATTGGCTGTAGTTATTACAGCCCACCAACCCAAAATGGAGCAGTTCGGTGGGTCTAAGCTTTTAAGACCTAGCTTCTATGAGAGTAGTGTGTAGTACACACGAATAGGTTAATACGAAGTACCTTTTATGGAAAGCATATTAAAACCTCGTTCCAAGTATTGAATATTTATGATTGGACAATTACACGAAGATAGCGAACTATATGCATAATATATTTTAAGTGCAGTTGATGGCATTGTGATTTTTTACACCGATCAAGGGCGTAAAAGCGGTCCATTCAATGATGTTTTCAAGTAATACATTTACAAATATCGTCTGGAATTTTGTTTACTGCTTTGTATCAACTTAATAGCCACTGTGGTTTAATGGTTGAATGCACTGCCGAGTATTATATTAAATTAAAAGACAATTTTTTTTATGCTTAAATAAAAAAATAAAATAAGGGCGGGTCTTGAAGCAAAATCCACAGCGTTCTGTGCTGCTGCTCTAACCAATTTACTGGTTGTGTAGATTTTTAATAACCTATAAACACAGATACAAATTCTTTTGTAGGTAATGCCACCAAGAGAAGATTATTATTTAATATTTTAAACTTATTTATTTTGTGTTTTATTAGATTAAATATCGCGTTTTAAACCGTTAAAGTGTTTTATTTAAATTTTATTACATTAATTATTGTTTATATATTATATAAATTAAAGAAATTTCGACTCGGGCAGGATTTGAACCGGCATCGTCAGCGTTCCGTTCAGTATTTTTTGTTTTTTTTGTTCCGTGCTGTTGCTCTACCAATTGAGCTACCGAGTCATTTTGTGGCTTGCCTGATCCTCTTTAGTGGTTCAGTGGGATTCGAATCTTTGCCGCTCACGCTTTACACAAAGTTTCTGCTGCACGTATTTAATATTCTGAAGAGGACCCCAAAATGTCGTGTTTTAAGTCCTTTAAATATAGTTTAATTTAATGTCTTAGGTATAGTGTATAAATATAAACAATTGATTGATACATCTAATAAATAAGGACAAAAGAAATATTGGTAATAAATAAGCCTGTCTTAAAAGGATTAGTTGAGTGATATTTCATTACTTTGTTTTAGCCGACCGACTCGCACGCGCGCAGTGTCACGATTTGTTTTGCAGCATATATTATGACAAACTAGACAATGTACGTGGCTTGATATCGTACAAACAATGTGGAAATCTCTTCTTCCTGTGGGTAAAGCAGCGAACACAGTGCTGTGTCTTTCGCGGATTGATTATCTATAAAGGCCAGTTGTTCAGATTTTCGTTTCGCTGCTGAATCGAACCCGGGACCACCCTTTAACGATTGTGTTGCTAACGAGCTACGAAAGCGGTTGATAAAAGCAACAGGCATACCTACAACGTGAAGTACTGTTTATAGTTTACGCGAGTAGTACACATTTAAATAAAACACTTTAACGGTTTAAAACGCGATGTATTAGTTAAACTTATTTGAAAATGATTTTTATCAGCCGTGGTCACGGGGAAACTAAAGATGTAGGCTGTCTCTGACGTCAAAGTAAAAAATTGCTACGCTAGTGCCATCTGTTCCATCGAGGTTGGTATTTGGCAAAACTGGCCGGGTCCCTACAGAATTGACTAACGGTGTCTTCGCGCTGAGGTATTGCTTAGGTCAGAACCTCCAATGTAACAAAAACAATATGAGTTGTAAAATAAACCACTTCTTCGGGTAGATGCTGTTTCTTTAGTTCTTTTGTTTTTCACGTTGTAGTTAAATAAAACACTTTAACGGTTTAAAAGGCGATATAGTAGTTAAACTTATTTGGAAATGATTTTTAACTTCGACCCGACGTTTCGGATGCTTTGCAGCAGCCGTGGTCACGGGGAGACTGCCCTGCCCTGGGGAGCCGTGGTCTCCCCTTGACCACGGCTGCTCATTTTCAAATAAGTTTAACTAATATATCGCATCTGCATCATTTTTAAATAAGTTTAACTAATATATCGCGTTTTAAACCGTTAAAGTGTTTTATTTAAAAGCTAATAGTGTTACTTTAAATTGTTTATTCTCTATGAACCCGTATACTACATTTGCCTATAAACTTCCGCATTGAAAACTATTATAGAATAAAGGCTTTAGGCAAAGTAGGTGTCAATTTGACAGGGGCGTGACTAGAAGCGCGAACGAATTGTTAATCTATGTACATGAAAGACATGAGATCAATAGATAAAGAGATGACTTGTCAGCAGCAGGAATAAGATTAAAAACCTTTTGTATTTACAAGACAATGGATTAACTATAATCATATTTGTCAGCCCTACTTACTGGATAGCCATCGTCAATCCATGAATCTTCATGAATGTTCAGGTAAGACGCTGATGTAGATTTTGATAGATGATGTAGACTTGTCAAGCCTTAAAAAATGCTTAGTTTTTAGTATCATATACAATACTTTTACGAGTTTAAACATATTTAGTCATAGTGTTAAGGTTAAAATTACATTGCGCGAGATGTGCTTAAATCAAAAGGTTGAAAAAATTTGGCGATGGCGTGTAGGACACGATAGCTCAATTGGTTAGAGCAACAGCACAGAACGCTTTGGGCACAGGTTCAAACCTTGTATTTCTTTTACATATGACTTAATTTTTAACTGCAATCCGACGACGTCTCTAGTTATTCACATTAGCCGTGATCGGAGAGGCTATATGTTTTATATATCGCATTTTGAACCGTTGAAAATGTTTTATCTTAATATTTACTAATCGCTTTCAGTACAAACAACATTTATTATATAAATTTAGTAAAAAGTAGTAAATCGTTTTCTTTCCTTATCTTGTGCACTGGCACAACGCGTGTTGTCACAAGACATTAATACTCCAAGAGCTTTTACAGAACCGGTGATCGAACACCCGATCCCACAAAGGTGAAGTCCCAAATCACTATATCAATATGGCTATCAGATTACCATAATCAATTCAGAGATAAGTTTGAAAATGGAATGGATTCTTAACAGCCATTTATTGTAGGATTTAGGTATACAAGACTGTACTTGACATAACTTGTTTTTGTTTCGATTTGTGTGTAATATCCGCATCATATGATTGTGTTTCCAATGTCAATTCAATTTGATTAAAAGGAAGTTAATAGCCACTAAGTGTTATGGATAAGAGCTTCACTTAAAATGTTTATATATCGAAGGCCGAAATTCTAGACATATTCCGTTTCCGGTGAATTTTTACAGATTGAACCGAACGAATGAGGTATTTTGGCTCCGTCAAATTATCAATATATTAACAAGGTTGGAAAGCTATAACATTTTATTTATTGAGCTATAAAAATAGCCACACTAAGTGCTTTTAAGCCCTTGCATCAAAATACCAAGAAACATCAAGATACTATTGTAAAAAGTTTAAATGACGTCATTATTATTAATTATTGGAATAAAATAGATAGCGAAAAATAATTTCCATGTTTTTCGCATAGACGATATCATTTGAATGGAATCGTTGGTTCATTAAAAGGATCGTACGGCATTGTAAATCATTTCATTATTTCATCATCATTAATTGTTTTTACTAATATGTAAGATAATGAACATCTGGATATTAGGTTAAAAATATTAGACTTCCTCCTGGTTCTAATAATAGAAATAACTGTAACTGCGCTTTTTGGTTTTAGTCTGTGAAATTCCGAATGTCCAAATCCAAGATAAGCCGACAGCGTGTCATAATTAGATGATATGCTTGTAGGCCGTATGTGCATACTTTGTACTTATATATTGCTGTAATTCCTAATTCATTTGTTCGGCCTTAGTACTTAATTAGAACAGAGATTTTAATTAAATTAATTAGTGTACGATCTAGAATATGCCTCTTCTAGGTCGATTTATTTTTTTATGACTGTGTAAGGAACGACTTATGTAGATTGTCTCAACGCAAAAAAAATAGGTACACTTATTTTTTCTCTGTGGTAACAAGTCATCTACGTCTACGTTAATCTGTATTAGTATTATTGTCTATGTTTACTAGTCAAAAATAAATTAATATTGACTTCCTGTTTTTTTTTAATGTTATAAAATATGTTAGTTTTTTTATAGTAATGAGATAGTGTACTTAATGTATTTTATTATTTTCCTTATACATATTTTACAAGAGCTATTAATAACATATTGGCAAGATAGTACCTTAAAATAACATAATATATGTATGAAAATAAATACACTTTTTACATACTCGTATCTAAAAAGTTGATATTTACTAATTATTATCTGTAATTAGAGAGAGAACGTTCATAGCCATTACATTACAACTAAGTTATAATAGATTAAGATAATTTATAATAGATAAAAAATATACAAATTTACAATCTAATACATAGTTTAACCCCGCGGTCTCGTTTGCAACGAAATGAACAATTAAATTGTAAAGAGCTTTCCTGGCCATCTTCGAGCCAAAGTCTGTTGCCCAAAATTATGTATAATTGCTTCTTATTACTCTAAAAATGACCTAAATCCCTTATATAATAAGGCTTTAATCATTTACTCGGCGGAAAATCAAGTGTTGTGTAAGAAGGTCGGTTTCTAGGAATCGGCGGTCGTCTGACTCTCGGGTGAGTTTTTCCTCCTTCCGTGTTCTTAGACGATTCACCCTCTTCTGGTAAATACGGTGGCCGAGGATTTAGTACTAACGCCTTGTATGAAGAATGCGAGTCCGCAATACTTCTTCCATCACCCTCGTCGCGTTTCGACAGTTCAGAAAAAGGAGAAACCGACCCTTTCTCTATACCGCTCGGACCGGGAGTTTCTTCTTTCGGTTTCAACTCGTACGCGTTCTCTTCTTTTCTCTTCGGTTCTGAATCTTTTTTTGAATTTATTTTGCCGTTCAATTATTTCTGCTGTGGTCAGATCGGAAGATTGTACGTCAGTTTCTAATGGTGCAACAGTAAGCCATGGCCGTGACGTGTTGGTACTACACCATCGATCCTCATTCTCGTTAACATCGCCTAATAAGCCTAATTTCTCTAAATTCTGCAATAGTAGGTTCTCGCTAGAGCTTGCTGCTCGCATTTCTGTTTTGGTTTCGTCGGCAAGTAGCAGTTCCGCCAGTGGAGGAGCAAGACCTAACCCGATATTTCTTTCGTGATATACTTCTGAAATAGTAGGAGTGAGTTCTCCGCTCATATGCCTGACTTGGGCCATTGAATCGCGGTTATTTGAGCGTATTTTAGGTCGAGGTGGGCGTTTGGATGTTGAGGGTTGTGGTTCCTTTTCTTCCTCCGTGCGTCTTGGCTGAGCGGAAGCAAGCTCATAGAAGGCATCTAGATACCGCTGGTGAGGCTCTGGACGTCTTCTTAATACTGTGTCATGACCAGAGCTCTCCCAGTCAGAGTCGTCCGAGGGAGGTCGTCGTGTGTAAAGAGTGCGTATTTTGGTTTGATGTGCTAGAGCGAGCGATACGTCTCTTTGAGGGGCCGTAGTAGGGGGTGAGGGGGGTGAAAGCAGCGTCACTCTCTCCTCGGTATCTCGGAGGTGCGGGAGCAGGTGGTGGTGCTGTCCGACCATCAGGTTCCCCACGTCCGACTTCTCCCGTTGAGTTTCGAACGTACATTGTGAATGCACCGCCGCATGATCCAAGTGGAAGAGGTGGTGGTGGTACAGATACGGTCTCTTCTGTAACAAACAATGAGTTTGCTTAGTAAAGGTTAAAATTTATGCGTTACAAATTATTTTTTATATTGTATCTTTTTAAAATTGATATTAGAAGACTTACGTATATGTGTAGTTGGGGGAGACTCTCCATCTGAATGTGGCTCAAGGTCTGCATCATCGATGGACGCAAGGGATTCCACACTGGAGCTGGATCCAAGGCTCAAGCTTCTTGGTGCTTCTTGGGTATCTAAAAGAATAACATCATATTTTAACCGTGAAAGTCATGGGTTGGAGTCTTGGGGCACTGGTCAGAGATATTAATTTCTCGTGACCGCAGTACTCGCAGTACTAAATATTGTAAACGATTATGATTAATAAACCATAATCGTTAGCAATATTATTGTAGCTCTTACCAAAGAGAGCGAGTAAAGCTTGCAGCACGAATTGAATATGCCGACGGTTTGTAGCTTTGCCGCGTAGTGTCACTTCGTCCTGACCAACTTCAGCAAGGTCGAAGCCCAGAGACGCCAGCAACTCGTGACACCCATTCACTCGCCACAACCTGCAAATAATTGACATTTGTTAAATCTGATAAAATTTTAGGAGTGGAACGTCCTGCATAATAATGATTAATAGTTATATTTATTATTTTATATTGATTATTAACTATTAGTTTAGAGCTATGCCGAGAGGAGAGTCTTATATGGATAAATCCGTCGTTAGCGGCGTTAACCAGGCGGCAAACCGCTTGGTGCGTATGAGTTTTAAGGACCGGAATCTCACTTCATTTTTATAAATTCTATTGAAGTAGAAAATTTCGCTAATGTTTACTTCAATTCCAAGACATATAATAAATATTACACACACACCTGACATTCACGGCGACTTCTAAGGTGTCCGTTTCGGCGTTTTTAACGGAAAATTGCGATATTACTGATCGCACCACACCAATTATGTCATCTGCTACGTCACCATTGGAGATCAACTTCGATAGGGCTTGTAACGTAGTCGATGTGAGGCCTGAAAGAAAAAATAACATACTTGTTTAATATGCAATAGGAGGCCGCTAGAGGCAGAGTAGCCTAACTGCAATTTTATGACTTAACTATATTTTTATAGTCTAAAAATGTTAATCTACAAGAGCGCAGTGACCGAAAATTGTTAACATATTTTTTACATAAATAATGCCTAGTACAAATTCATTTTCGCCTAATTATTTTCCTCCTTATTGAAAGTCATATTTTTTGTTATTAGGCCACTCTACCTCTAGCAGCCTCATATCTCAATAGTGATTACGTCGTTCGATGGTGAAGCATATTGCGTCAAGTACGAGATCTTGGATTCTAAACTCGGTGAAACATAACGGTAAATTAGAGCTTGAACGAATACGAACACTTGTTACAGTGGCGTTATTTATATGTGAACTCGTCATCAGCTTTTTACTAGGTTATTTTATAAAATTATATATACTGATTAAATATAACTTATACGTTTTACATACGAATGGAATATTATTTACCTAAAAGCGCTTGTAAACTCGCTGAGCATTGAGTCAATCTCTCTTCAGGATCACTTTGTGGGAAGAAAACACTAGAGGGTATACCGTTAGCTGCTGGCTCAAATCTATCACAGATAAATAAATAATAAGATATTATAAGTCATATTAACGTACTTTATCTGCTGCATTATTGTAAAAAAATATAAAAATATATTAGATGACAGATAATAGTAGAACCCGAGACAGAACGTGTATGATATATTAATTTAATATGTATTCTATTCCATTTAAACCATAAGCAAACTGTTTAATTATAATTTACTACAACAAAATATTTCGACCTGCACATAATGATTTTTAAACAATATTAACCGCAAGAATAAATATTTCAAAAAATTCAAGTTCATATTTCAAATTTAATACAATAATTAAACTGTCTAAGTATTTTACGACATCAACTTAACTTACTTATAGCTTTAGACCATCATGTTCACTGATGTAAATTGTATGTATTGTCATTAATTTCCTAACTACTAAAGTACTAATTCTGAAACCAATTGACAATTGTGAATTACCTGAACCCAACGCTCATTAGCAGTTCCCGCCAACCAGTGGCAGTTCCGGCTTTATTTTCGATGCTTTTCTGAGTGGTGTACATAGCGTTCTTCTGCCCACGCACTATACGCTGTAGGGACTTCTCAACTAAATGTAGACAAACACGCAAAGCGTCTCTGAAATAAATGAAAGATCAAATTTAAGCTTAAATGTATCTGTAATATTATTTATGGTAACACTAGGAGGTAATATCGATTTGATTTACATGTAAGCAGTTACTTTGAATTCGGTGTTATTATTTCCATGTTTATGTTAAATAATAACACAAAAATAATTAATTAATTCAAACCAGTAGTTCCTGAGATTAGCGCGTGTAAACAAACAAACAAACACTTCAGCTTTATTTATTATTTTATTATAACTTTATTATTTATAACCCATACTACACATACAAAAAGAGAAAACATCTTACGTACTAACTTATAAATAAAAGGCGGCCTTATCGCTAAGCAGCGATCTCTTCCAGGCAACCTGAAGTACAGGAGAAAAGAAAAAGACTTATCTTATCTTTATTTATTGTTATAGACAAAGTTTTCTCTGTGATTATTGTAACTAACCTGCATTTATCAGGCGTCGCCAGCAGTTCGCAAAGTGCCTGCCCCATGAGGGCAACTTTGTTGCTCAGACGCACGTTGGCCCCAAGCAGGGCACACCCAGACCAGTATGCCGGATGGGCAAAGTGTTTTGTGTGTCGCACTGTCTGCATTGCGTCTCCTAACGCCCTGTAAAAAATATATTAAATAATTAGCTTTAGTTTTTTAACTTCATACTTATTTATGATAGATATAAAAACATAACGTTTTACGAGCTTGGTGGTGTAATATTATGTATGGTTACTAATCAACGGGCCGTGGGTTCTCTCCCCTGGGTTTGTTTCTCATTAATTACTAATAGCTGGGCATGTTTCTCATTACTTTATATTTTTTTCTACAATATTTTGGACGTTGTCTGGAAATCTGGATATTAAATGCGTGATTGGAATATCGAAATCCGTCTTGAACCATTAAAGCCTATAACATCTAACATATAACATATTGCTGGGCTATAACATCTAACATCAAGCGAATCCCATGCTTGTCATTCTCTATTATAAAAAACGTACTTAGCTACTCGACTGCCTTGTAACAGAGCTGAGTACAGCGCCCTATACAATATCTTCGTAGCGGTGTCTTGTGGTGCTGGCCACAAGGTGACCAGGATTGCTTGAGCTCCAGCAGCGAGTAATGCTCTACAGAGCCGGGACACGCCTTCTCCAGCTGTTGATACTGCGTCGAGCTCTTCAGAATCTTGTGCGATTGAGGACGGTGGAGCACAAGATATGACCACCTGAATATTTAATTGACATTGTACCGAATGTGTCCAGTGGGGGGTTATGTATACAAGTTACATTAATTACAATACGCGAGTTGTGCAAGTAGGTGATAAATTCGAGGATGACGTAGCCAGTAGCTCAAATGGGTAGAGTAACAGCACGGAACGCTGTGAATGCCGTTTCAATTCCTGCCCGTTCGTAGTTTTTTTCAATCTAAAGTCGATTTTTAACTGAAGTTACATTAATACAAAGTTTTTGGTTAATTCAATGATTGACTTTTTTACAGCTAAGTAGTTTAAATATTACATTTTAACAGTTTAAAAAGCGAAATATATTAGTTAAATTTATTTATTTATTTGCAGCCGTGGTGACGGGGACACGATAAATGGAATAAGTGCTTACGAGTCGTGCGGTTATCTTCAAGTTAGTTATTTCTGGTGCAGTTAAGATAAACTCGGACGCTGGCGGTAGTTCTTCGTTTGTTTGCGGTAATTCTGCATCTGTATGACAGACAAATATATACGCTAAAGTTGTAGAAGAGAAATGACTTACGGGGTTTTATACCGCACTTATATATAATTGTGCACAATAAAGAAATGATAGTAGTTTGTCATATAATTTATGTATATATTAAAATATAGTTCTATATTTGTAAACTATTTTCACATGTTATTGCACATGATTGCCTTATATAAATGCTGTGGATGCAGGTTGGATGCTCATGTCGTAATTATTTTCCAATTTTGAACTATTTTTAATGAATGTAGATAGAATTAAAAAGAAATCTGATTTAGGAATTAAAGAACTGTAAACAGTAAGTAATGAAAATTAATAATTATTTGTAATATCGCATGTCTTATGCACAGGACTTTGTACCTCAACACATAAGTTTAGCTTGAAATTACAACGCGCTACTATTTCAGAAAACTTACTCTCTTCTTCATTTTCAGTAGAAGTGTCAGCTGCATTGCTTCCAACGCTAGTATTGAGAAGGCGCTTAGCTTGCGAGTCCACCTGAAACGCGTTCATGAATTATAATAATTAGTGACAAAAAGTAAAGCTCATCTATGTATTATGAAAGAGAATATTTATCGAACTTACCACTTCACCCGGGCTTAGTACAATTCCTGGTGTTTTCCAGCAGACATGAGTGGCGAAGTGGATGCATTCCGCTTGTGGTAGTTGAGCCAGAACAGCCTCTTTGGAAGCCTGCATTAGAAATATTTATTATAAGTTAAATCTATTTGAGTTATTAGAAGTGGTCAACAGTTAGTATATACGTATTCTATATTCCGTACCGTAATAAGTAATACATAAAAGAAAATATATGTAAAATGTATTTTAAAAAAGATAAAAAAAAAAACACGGCCATAGACAGCACCCAAATTCCCGATCTTTACATATCTAAATATATTTCTATTTTATTTTATTATTTATAAAAAAAAACAAAGTAAATTACATTAAATATACGTATTTTTCCTAGATAATGAAATAAATAAGTTCACCTGATAGTCAGTTAGCGGCGTAACTCTTAACATGTCGGCAACGATTTCCGCTTCCTTGAGCAAAGCCGGATGCGCGGGCCAACGTGACCCGCCCACGCGTGGGCCACCGACCACTAAGCATCGCATTCCTGACTCATTACTGTTAGCACCTTATAACAGAAAAATTTAGTGTTAGTGGACTTTCTATAAACATATCTAAGGGTATGTCAACAAAAGATTTTTTTTTATAAATCGTTAAGTATTCTTTTGTTATTTAAACACAATAATCAAAATGGATCTTAAAATGTCTATAAAGGTTTCTAGGCCATTTTACAAAGCTACTTGGATCTCCGCTCGTTAAGGAACGTCATTTCCTGATGACGTCACTCGTGACGTCATAACGTCGAGAACCATTTTTTAATTACGACAGACGAACAGCTCAAAAATCCAAGTAGCTTAACTTTAATATACCTTTGAATAAATAGTAATAAAAAGTACAATCTCTTAACACTTGGATTATCTTTTCTTAGAAAGTTATATTATGTTAAGGTTGAAATTACAATAGGCGAGAGGAGCATGTATCATTTGAAAAAAAAGTTGAGGATGACGTGTAGGACAAGTTAGCTCAATCGGTTGGAGCAACAGTCCGGACTGTGGATGCCGGGTGAAGTCCTACCCGTGTCGTACATCCTTTTCAATCTATTTTTATTGTAAGCTTACTCTGTTCATGATGCAGTTTGTGTTTCGACTGGCGTTGGTGACGCAGCGGACGCAGTGCTGGTATAGCAAGCAATGCGTATCGCTCGCACAGGGGCTCAGTATCTGCGCTCGCGCTTAAAGCACCCCAGGGACACGCGAATAAGATGCCTTCTACTGCCACAATGATCTCACGCCGACCACCGCAACCCCGACGACCATGGGATGCTGTATGTTTAATAAAATAATCAATAAAAAAACTATAACTAAAAAAGGTCAAAGGAATCATACAGTTTATGTGTTACATGGATCGTATATATTCCTGCTATTTCAATTATCGATTATATAGGCATAAGTTGTTGACCGACTGACCAAAACGTTGTATTATGTTTCTCTAAGATTCGAATAAAGAGTCTCTTCGACTTAAAACGTTGCTGGGTTAAGCGTTTAACCATTAAGCCTTGAGGTCATTAAATTATCACCAAGATATGAGTATTATTTAATGCATTTGTAAATTTTTAACAGGTTTCTGTACATCTATATGACAGTTGGTTATGAAAGCATATTTTTCGTGCATGGTAGAAATTATTCATCAAATTCGTAGTAGAAAACATCGTACCGTGGTTATTGTTACAAGAGGCAGGTAACAGATCCTCGAAGGGGGCAAGAAGCATTTGGTAAAGTGTCGTCAGGCATGGCGGTCCCTGCCAAGATGGTTGCTTCTTTCGTGGACCGTGTACACTAGAACTGAAAGAGTAAAAATGGAGTTCTAAATAAATAGTTACGATATTTTCTATAAAAATGTAACAGGATCTTGATAAAATGTAAAAAGGCTATATTTTCAAAATCTATGTATTGTCCGTAGTTTACACAAGTAGTACACATTTCGGTAAAATAGTTTTTAAGTTTTAAACAGTTAAAAGTGTTTTATTTGAATTTTTTTATTGCTACATATTAGGTATTGATTAAGATAAGGCTGAGTCATTATTTTTGTTAACTCTAATAGAAACTCACCGAGTTGATCCTTGTAGACTGGCAACAGAACCAGCCACGGACCCGCCAACAGACCCGACGCTGAATAGCGAACTCAGCGAGTAGTTAGATGAATTCAGAAGATGGTTGCGATTAACCTGAAAACAACGATTATCTTTAGAAAAATAATTAACTGGAAATTATATATTAATCATACTTAATTGCATACAAACCATATAAAACTAACTAATAACTAGGAATATTCTGGAGTGGGGTTCGATCTCTTTCAGGCAAAACCAAATTAAAGGGATTTTAGAGAAAAATGTAATTACACAAATCAAATGTATGCAAAAATCTACGTTTTTTAAGAGACTGCTTAGAATCAACTAGTTTGTTACAAATTCACGTTGTAATATGTTATAGGACATTCGTCACTTTACAGACTTTTCTGTAATATTCATCTATAAGAAAGTTACAATGTCGATCTAATCAGTGTCAATCAGTTATTAGTATAAATAACATTCTTGGTGCAAGATGAAGCTTGAGTAAAAACATCCAGCTCTTACAATTCTAGCAAGACCGGTATTAGGTCTGTCGTCAAGCCAGTCGTCATCGCGTCGTTCAGCCGCATTCTTAAGCCACGAAGACCACTCGCCGATGCAGCGTTCTAGTTTAGCGCTATCTGTAAATTTAAATTAAAGTGAATTTCTGGTCTAGTTTGTTGATAGACATTTCGGCATGATATTCGGTGTGAATTATAATTTATTTTTTAATTTAAAAGTACTTTAATTACAGGTATGACTAGCTCCTTCAACCCCCCCAACCAATAATATTAATTAAATATCTGTGCCAATAATAATAGTAAAATGTCTATTCTTAATATTTTGAAAAGTTATATTAAAGTAAGTAATTACTTGAGTTTGATTGTAGGTCGTCAGGGCTTATATCCGGAAGGCTGTTGTCTCCATCTTCAGGTTGATCCATGAGTGACACTTGATGGAATCTGAGAATTCCTGCAAAATTGAAAATTTATTAGTTTAAGTAATTAAACAATTTATTTTCCTTATCTATGTTTTGTTTGATTACCTTTATGTGGTTGTATAAGCCACGCGTAGAGTCTCCCAGCAGCTAAACTATAGTATAAGACAGGAGCTTTCTGCTTGTTGACTACTTCTAGCACATTATCCACTGTCGATGGACTCCATTGTTCTGGACGCTCTTTTGAATCTTCTGCCGCATTCCTAAACATAAGAAAAATTGACTTAATGATTATATGGGTATACTGATATATCATATACAATATTACATATAAATATTTTAAGCCTCAAAATAGTCTAAAGGTTAAGTTAATAGTCATGGCTATGCTAAAGACCAACGGTTCAACGGTTAAAAAAGTATGTTGGTAAATGTCTGAATATTTTCATCTTTCAATTACAATTCGTTGTTGCGATAGAGCTTTTACCATACATCGGCTGAACCCTAATCCTGTTAGCCATTATAAAATGCCCCTTATAATATATACCCCGTTTACCTTTGGACATTACTCAATTCGGAAATAATGTGATTTTGTGTGGATGTGTGTTTCTCTAAAGCGTCTAAAGAACGGCAACGACCTCTCTCAGCCACAACTAGAGCTTCTGGATGTCTTCCTAATTCTGTAAAATGACATACACAAATATAAAACACTAAACAGTTTTGAACTTAAAGAGGAATAGTTTTTAACTATCTGATTTATATATTTCGTGTTTCAACTTGTTCGAAGAGTTTTGTTTAAGGTGTACAAAGACGTTTATTAAAAACATGTTATGCGATTTTGTGAGTCTTTACTAATACTAAAAAAATGAACTGCGTGTAGGCAATTTCGAATGAGGTATAAATACATAAATGAAATTTCCCAATTTATCTTACCGACTAGCACCCTCTGTAGCGCGTGTTGCGTTGATGTGTACAACGTGACAACTTTCCTGTCTCTATGTTTCTCGTTGCCAGATTCTAGAACATTGAGGGCTGCCTGCAGTTGCTCTTTTGCTTCTTCCAGTTCTCCAGATGCCCATAACGCAAAACCTAATCTATGGCGTACTCTAGCCTAAAAGAAAAATATTGGTTACAGAAATTTTTAATTGTTACTATTTCAATGTGTTGTTTATATTTTTTTATTTTAACATGTTATTGTTAATAATTCCAGATAAATATTATTTCTTATTGTAGACAAAGGTAATGTAATTGGACGTTGGTTGACAAATTTAAAGGCGTTGCATATCAATACAAAAAAATACCTCTTTACGAATAAGTCACTAAATATATAAAGCTTATGTGGTGCAAATTTTATTCAAAAAAAATATTATAAGGTTAGAAGCGCTTAGTAGAGTAAATACCTCTTCATCGGCATCAGCCAATCCTTCAGTAGCAGCTAACGCTTGTCTTAAATATGAGACAGCACTTCCACAAGCACCCATCGCGAGATGAGCTCGTCCCAAGTCGGCTAGAGAGTTGGCACGTCCGCGGCTATCGCCTAAAAATTTATTTGTTTGTTATCATTTGCACGTATAACTGAACAAGTTAAAACGCTTAGGCAGAACATCATGGTTTCTTACCAGCTGCTGTAGCATGTCTAAGACGCGACTCATGCCAGCGTGCAGCTTCAGCATATGCACCCGTTGCGGCATGAGCAGCACCCAGCCCACCACACGCGCGAGCCTGACAATTTAAGTATTTTGAATTTATAATCATTTCCATAATAATAATAAAGCTTATAAACAGACACGGATTATTCTTTTAGAAAGTTTATTAGTCGAATGGGAGTCACAAACCAGGTCCACTGACGGAATAACTTCGAAGTGGTATATAATCTGCGGTTCGGTTTTATATTGTTGATTTCTTCTTCTTCAGCTAGACCACACTTCTTGATAAAACATCTTGTTTAAAAGTTATAAGGCTGGAGGATCAAGTCAAGGGCTCACTTGTTATCTGTTTTCCTCTGTTATAAGAACAATTGATACCTGTAAATGGGTGAGACCAAGACGATGTGCAAGCTCCAGTTCAGCTCGGTGATGTCTAATAGCTGCCGAGTGCTCTCCAAGTGCCTGGTGGGCGACTCCAAGCGAATGACAGGCCTCGGCCTCCATAATTTGATTGTTCAATTCCCTAGACAATTTTTGTTGGTTCAGTTCACTTGATATTATCATGTCATTTAGGTCAGTACCGATTGGGTGTTATTTTGTATTAATTAATTTATAATAAAAAAAAATCAAAGTTACTAAACCATTGGCAGAAAATAATAGTAAAACAATGTCCTTGCGTACAGCGAGCTGTTCAGCCGTCGTAAATAATTCTTAACGTTGAGAGTTCCTCCACTAAGCGAAGACTTATACAATTTAAGTAAAAGGTCGTTACAAAATAGAAATAAGAATTACTTCGCTATATTCTTTTGGTGCTCCAGACATGATACCGCCTGCTCCAGATTATTTAGAGCGATGTGTAAGGCCCCAAGTTCACCATAAGCTTGGGCTTTTGCTTCGGGCATTCCTAGTTCATGGGACACCACGAGACGTTTCTCCAAGCACACCAGAGCTTGTTGCAGATTGCCCACGGATCTTAATAACAAAATAGCTTTAATTCAATATATCGTTATAATTTCTAATTTTCTAATCAAAGCTCGCATTTTTGTGTTTTTTTTTTAAATTTCTGAATCTAAAAGCGAATACGTTACGTTTAGTTCGAATTGAGGTAGAAAATTAATTAATTACATACTTGTGACTCAATCCAAGACCCCTATAAGCTCTTTCTTGTTCTCTAGTATTGTTAAGCTTCAGAGCAGCCGTCAGATGTCTCTCATGATATTTGACTGCTTCGTCTGGATCACCAAGCGCGTCGTAACAGTCTCCAAGCGAGCCCAGAGCTCGGGCCTTGTCTAAGTGGCACGTTGGTGTATTCACACGTTCGAGTATTGCCAGTTGCTGCAAGGAGTTTTATAACATTTATTATAAAAGAGTCAAACTGTGTAAAACAAAGACATTTCTTATATGGCAATATAGGGTATTAGTATTTCTTTTAACATTAGTTAAAAGGCCACAAGCGACATTTAAAGGATACACCAATAAATTATATTTTGACGTTATATTATTATATTTATAATTTCAATAAATGTTGAATTATTTGAAACGAGCTCATTATATTCTCATTAGTGAAGAAGATAAATACTATTTTATTTCAAGAAGATACATCAAGTTAATTGGCATAAAAACATTTTAATAATTAGAGTATCGTCCGAATTACAGTACGGCGGTAATTATTTTTAAAATTTTATTTGAAATTATAAGTTAATAAAGAGCTTTGCTATGCTATACACATTGCTCTACGCTTTATAGTCAGTGGTGGGTTGAATTCTAAATTATAACTTTTTTTTGTTATTGTGTTACTTACTTGCTCCAAATATCCAATAGCATCTTCGTAATGTCCCATGTTGAGTTTGGCTATGCCCAAATTTCCGTACGCCTGCGCTTCCAAGGCGCAATCTTGTAACTCTTGCGCTCTCTCTAACTGCTCCTTTTAAATTATTATGAATAATTATTTATAACAATCATTTGGCAATAGTTTCCTTCTTGGAAAAAAACATACAATTTCGCATTCTCTAATAAACGACTGCCATCTTTAGTCCCCCTCTAAGAGTGTGTTACTTACTCTATAACATCTTGCGGCGTGTGAATAGTGTCCCAGGGCCATATGGACAGCACCCAAATGCGAATGGGCCCTAGCTTCGCCCGCTGCGTCACCGGCTTCTTGGCGCAAGGTTAACTCCTACATCAAGTAAAAAATAAAGTTCATAATAAAAATAAATATAAATAAAAATGTATTAAAATAAAACACTTTAACGGTTTAAAACGCGATATATATTAATTAAACTTATTTAAAAATTATTTTAACTACGGCCCGACGTTGCACGGATGCTTTGCAGCAGCCGTGGTCATGGGCACGTTAAAGTGTTTTATTTAAATATGTACTACTCGCGTAAACTAGAGATTTGAAGAAATGTACCTGAGTATGATGACCCAAGGCGGCGTCCAGACGTCTCTGCAATCGTCTTGCCAGACCCAGTGCACCACAAGCGGCTGCTTCAAGTGATCGATCACGGGCCTACAAATAATAAATGAGATGAAGTACGAAAGATAGGAAAAAAATAATTATTTCATTCGGACAGATCAAATTGCCTATACTAGCATTTATCGCATTATCTGAGTATCCATTAGATGTTAAATAAATAAATAAAATATATTTACGTTTATTTAGAGTAAGTATTCTATACTAATATACTCGTATAAAGCTGACGGAGCGAAAAAACAGTGGGGAATGTAGAAAAAAACGGGGGAAATCTTTGAGGGTATCATTTGCGTGCGCTGCGAAAACGGTTCAAGATACCAAAATAATATGTATGACAGAATGATTCCTCTGTCAATAATCTAAAAAAGACTACATGTCTTTTTTAAGATTCACTTGCAGTAAAGACGGTACGCAAACTGACTATGATTTATAAAGATGAGGATGGGATTTGCCAACATTTGGACGCCCAGAATTGTAGCAGACGCGGACGAAGTAGCAGTGCCGTATGCTATACAAATGAATATAGTTACCTGTCTCGCGAAACCTAGTTGCCGTTGATACATCTTAACAGCCTCCTCCACGTCTCCCATCTTAATCAGCACATCTCCTATGTTACCAAGTGCTCTGAACTTCCCTTGTAGGTGCTGTGTCATATGGGCGATCGCTAGGAAGTACTTCTGGCATTCCAAGGCCGTCTCCAAGTTACCAAGAGCCAGATGTGCCAGCCCCAAGTTACAATAAGCTCTGCCCATATTCATCTTATCTTGCAAATCTTTGGCGAGTGATAGATCTTGGTCGTAGTATCTGAAATTGTTGAAGGTAATTTTTTTTATAACAGACAAGTTTCAAGCATCAAGACACTAATCTCTGGAGCCAAATGGTTTAACGTGTTGCCTAGCATTGTTTTAAGCGCGAGACGTCCTGGGTTCGACTCCTGGGAGAACAATTGTTTCGCTCGGACAAGGCTTCTTTCTGGTCTGATCAACTACTTGCCTGTTAAAGAAACGATCAGTGAAACGGACTCAGAAATGTGTTCGCGCCATGCCCCACGGGGGTATCAGCATTTTTCTCCAGCTTGGGCTTCCTATTTTCTATTGATTCAGAAGCCTTTGGGGTCGTTTTTTTGTTTTTTTTTGTCTGATTATTACTTTTCGAAACATATCACTATCTTGTTAAAGGGACAATCGTATATATAAGCATGAGTTAATTTTCCTTAAGTAAAAACACATTCGACGGTTTTAAAGGTAGAGAGCTTTTAAATTATTTTCACAAATATATTTTGCGTTTCAAACCGTTAGAAGCTCCTTTAAAACTCTCGCATAAAATGCAGCTATTATATTATTTACCTTACAGCTTCTCTATAGTTTCCTAAGCAGTAATGCGCGTAGCCCAAAAAGTGGCAGGCCTTAGCCTCAGCGGTGACGTCTCCGAGTTCTTGGGATAACATCAGATGCTGCTCATAATACGGAACTGCTTGAGCAAATTCACCTCGAGACGAGAGACAATTCCCCAAGTTGAGAAGCGCGCACGCCTCACCAGCTGCGTCTTTTAGCTCGCGAGCTATACCTGAAATTTTATTAATGTAATATTAATACATTGCCGAAAGTTTAAATTAATTAATAGTATTATTAGTCATTATTTATTATTTTATTTTTAGTCAATTCTGAATAAATATCTAAGCCTTTTAATTCAGGGTATAAAAGGGATACTAATTCTTTTTTTGCTTTAACAGTTCTTGTTACGAAACAAGGGACTATTGTATGTACCTATCTTTAGTTGATGAAGGATGAAATTAGTTTATTCGTATCTATGTTTAGTTGTACGTGCCAGTGGCTTGTTAGATATAATGACCTGGCAAGTATGTATTTCCACTATTAAAAACCTATTATTGTGAAGAAGATTAGCGCATTCACACAAACAAACTCTGTAGCTTTTTAATATTAGTGTTGATTTGTAGAACTTACCCAGATGAGCTCTATAATGGAACAGTGCCATATCATGGGCTCCTAACGCCTGATACGCAACAGCTAAGTTTCCATGTGTAGACGCTTCCGAACTCCTATCATGGACTTCTTTTGATATTGTTAGCTCTTGCTTATGGTATTTGATGGCTTGTTCATAGAAACCGGCCGCTGAGTAGGCATTGCCGATGTTCCCATAAGCTCTGCCCATACCAGCTTTGTCCTGGAAGTAATTTTAAGATAACACTTATTTAATCAATTGTTTGTTTATTATTACAGCAAGTTCAATAGCTTTATTTTATTTTATACGGAAAACAGTATACATTTTAAATTTAGAACATATCGCGAAATGTAAATTTGTGTTGTTTTTGTTTGTTTTGTGTTGTGTGTGTGTTCGTGTGTGTTGTGTTATGTGTGTGTGTTTTTATATGTTTGTGTTTCTATGTATTTACGAGTGTGAGATTTCATTTAATAACATATCCTCAGAATCGCCCTTTTTTATGATAGAGGAGGACAGACATGCATGGGATTCGCTTGATAGTAGGTGACATACCCCAGCCATATAACATCTAAAGTAAATGCGCTGTCGACTTATTTTGGTTTTGTATATTCGGAAATCCACAGACTGAAACCGAAACGCGATTAAACTTCACGGCTTTATTTATCGGGGACGGGGGTTCGAAATTCGGACGGAATTTCGATATTCCTACCACCCACTCAATATTCAGATTTCCAGACGTAGTCCAACACGTTTTTGGAAACATTATAAATTTATTACAAACTAGTTAGCCTCGGTGGGAATCGAAATCACAACCGTTAATAATAAGCCCTACGAGATTTATTATTAATAGACCAACGAGTCTGTCATTTATAACAATAATTATTAAAATTAATATTACCTGCAATTGCCTGGCAATAGATAGATGTGCCTGGTGTAACTTCAGTGCAGCATCGTGTTCCCCCAACAGTTGGTATACGATACCTAAGTTGGAACATGCTCGACCTTCCCCAATCTGAAATAGTATATATCTTTTTAAAATTTACATAGCCGGAATCAAATCTGAAGAACTTTTACCAAGAATATTTTACCAAGTTGCTATTTAGCATTTAAATACGATAGACAAAATATAACCTAGTGTGTACATTAAGTAAGTGTTTTAGATAAAAATACAATCTCATTTTCACACTTCGTAGTATTGGGCAGACACATTTTTATGTCTCATTTTCCGATCGCTATACTAGATCGTAGTACAGGTTAGACATACACATTAAATAATTCTATGCTATAACTAAACAAATTGTGTACGTTTTCATTTGTTTTTCATAAAATAATCTAATAAGTAATGAAAAGTGAAAACCCTCTTGCATAACGTTATAACGAACGTGGGTTTCATTTTAGAATCACGTTTCACTGACAATCACGCGAGCGCGTAACTTCATTTTACATTCAATTACATAGTGATATCGGAAGCAACGACTGTCGATGTTTTTACGTCGTGGGTCAACTTAATTGTCTTTAAATATATCGAAATCCCAACGTATAAAATCGGGATAGATATATTTGGGGTAGAGCAGATTAGTGTATAGTTTGTGTCAATTAAATTTTTTTGCCTGAAACTTGCTTTTTTTTCATCTCATTTTATATTACCTTGTCTCGTGCAGCAAGCGCTACGTCCAATTGTCTTTCGTGCCACTTTTTTGCTTGAGCATAGTCTCCTGCGCAGCTGTAATCCAAAATATTCATATAAATATACACTTTTACTCATAACATAATCAGAATTTAAGTTATTAATTTTCATTCAACGAAAAATATTTAATCGCAATTTGTGTTTCATTGTATTTAAAATAATTTACAGATAGTAATTTTTTAATAGTTAAAAATTTAAGTACGAGTATGAAATGTCATATAAGCTCTTTAAACAGTTTAAAACGCGAAATATATCAGCTAAACTGTCCCCGTCCAGGTCTGCAGACCATAGTTAAATTAACTTTCAAATAAGTTTATATAACATATTTCGCGTTTTAAACCGTTAAATTGTATTATTTAAATGTGCACCTACTACTTGCGTAAACCACCTGTGTGTTTCATATAAGGCTGTTTAACTTGGCAACAAATCCCAATGAACATTTCAACTAAATGATAATTACCGTGCCGCATGTCCAAGACCCGCATATGCTCTTGCTTCTATAGCTCTGTCTCCGAGGTTCTGAGCTATCCGTAATACATTCTCGTGGTATGCAATCGCCTGGGTGAAGTTTCTTCTACAATGGTACGACGACCCTAAGTTCGAATATGCTCTAGCTTCTTCAACCTTAAAATAAGAACATACTTTAGTTTTATATTTTCAAAACATTTGACATTTGACTAACTTAAGTGGATTGTTCTATATATGCAGGCCAATTTCATGTTATATATGAATGTGTAAATAAAAGTAATAAGTTAGTTATACATACATTAATACAAATGAAGTAAATAGTAAGGATTCTAAACAACGAAACCATGATTCTAAATACGATTCTCCTTTACAAAACTCTGTTTTCAAAGTTTTATAAAATGTCCAATAAAGCCGATTTTATTGGCTTTAGCGTTTGGTCAAAACCTGTATTTATTACAAAAAGAGAGCGACATACATAAAATAAATTTGTGGGAAAACAATTCTTCTCATGATTATAATAATTATGGGAACAATATTTTGATGTTGTCTACTAGTCCTTATAACGGACATAACAAGTGCTCTTATTGTCGCTAATAAGTTTCTGCTTAGGTTGAAATACTTCGACGCTTGTATGTAGGCCCGGTACCTCAATTGGTTAGAGCAACAACATGGAATGTTGTGGATGCCGGTTCAAGTCCTGCCCGAGTCCTACTTTTTTCAATTTATAATTGATTTTTGAATAAGACAATTATTATTTAAATAAAACACTTTAACGGTTTAAAAAGCGATACATTAGTTAAACTTATTTGAAAATTACGGCCCGACGTTTTGGATGCTTTTCAGCAGCCCTGCCGGGGAGACTAACGTATATCGCGTTTTAAACCGTTAAAGTGTTTTATTTAAATGTGTACTACTCGCGTAAACTATAGACAGTATATAAAAAATAACCTAAAAACAATTTTACAAACTCCTCACCTGATCACCTAGTCGTCTCGCCAGCCGTAAGTGCTGTGTATGACAGTCCACAGCCGAATCGAACTCGCCCATGGCCAAGTAAACTGCTCCCACATTTCCAATCTCCCTCGCCTCTTGTAATCTATCGCCCATTTGTTTAACTAGCTGTACGCATTGTTTGTGGCTAGCCAGCGCATTGGGATAGTCGCCGATAGCCGTGTAGACGTGCCCTAACGAGGTCAAAGCGGCAGCTGCGGCTTGAGTGTCCTGAAGTATTTTAAGAAAATTAGCCCCACTACAGCTACATGCTTAGTTAGCTAACGGACGTCTTCAACAAGAGTATTTTTTAAAAACTATATTCGTATACTAGCTGTGCTCGCGACTTCGTCCGAGTAGAATGGTAAATTTGAGCATCAAAACGTGGTTTTCCAAACCTCATCTTTGTATAGGTGTTTCGTACGATATCGTTCGCGTCGCGTAGTTCCTAAAAGTTTTTCATACATATTTTTTGGTTTATTGAACCGTTTTCGTAGCGCACGCAACGGAATCCCTGCACGGATAATAATTTTCGCACTTTTTCCACATTTCCCACTGTTTCCTAGCTTATATATCGCAACGTGATTTTATATAACATAAAGCCTCTTTCAATAAATACTCCTACTAGCGAAAAAAATATTTTCCAATTCGAATTCAGTAGTGATTGAGATTAGCGCCTTCAAACAAATAAATGAATTCATCAGTTTTTCATATTACCACAGATAATAGTAAGACTTTGATATCACTAGGCAGACGTTGTTTTTCATATAAACTCTTTCTATTCACAAAATATCAGCTATAATATATTGCGGCCGTTGTTAAATATTTCCAAAAATCACTTAAAATTCAATCCCCTATAGACTGAGAGCAAACAAAGGGATTAAGAACAAATAAAAGGCCGATTAGAATGCGGCGCGTCCTTTCCACTGAGGAAATGGATGACAAAAGAAAAAAGTATCTGACGACGGACCGCCAATAAGAGCTTTGTCTCGATGAAGTGAGTTAGTGATGTGAGATTTGTATCGATACGTTTTTTCATATTATTATTCAAGCGAAAGACGACGTCCCCTTAAGAGTTACTGATGTAAATGGGGACAGTATTTAAATGAAGCGATATTTCTCATATGTACTTTTTCAACTGTCAACTGTTTTATATTAGCGTAAGATTGAAATAAAACATTTTAACGGTTTAAAACGCGAAATATATAAGGTAAAATTATTCAAAATTATGTTTTAACTACGGCCCGACGTTTCAGACGCTTTGCGGCAGCCGTGCTCACGGGGATACTCTACAAGTTTTAGTAATGTATTTCGTGTTTTAATCCGTTATATCGTTTTCTTTAAATATGCACTACTCGCGTAAACTACAAACTGTATTTAGTGTAAGATATAGTTAAGATCTTTTATTTTATTATAATTTATATATTGTGTTCGTATTTACCTAATACACAGTTGTCATAAACTTAACGTAATCATTAGGAACAGCCGATTCAAATTAACGAGTTATAAAGTTAAATATCGCCTGTAGTTTACGCAAACAGTACACATAAAAAACACTTTTAGCCGTTTGAAACGCAACATATGTTACAGTTAAGTAATTATTACAATATATTTTAAATATGGACATTTCGATCCTATGCATCACTTACGGTCACGGGTTGACATATTTCGCGAGTAGTCTATGTATATAAAAGCTTAAAAAATGTCTTCGTCGCATTTTTTTGCTTTCGCTCTATTGTCTAGAGCAACATCACGGGACGCCATAGATGCCCGTTCAAGAGGACTTAAACTAATTGAAAAACATTCTACTGCTACTGCTCGTGCCGTAAACTATTTCAGTCTTAAATCGATTTTTAAAATTACATTTATGTAGCCATACGCTGGTCACACGCCTTTATTAAACATAGTTGACACCTCCTTTACTAAAATCGGCTTAGTATTTAAAATGCAAGACTGCATATTTTCGAAATAACAATTGTTTTTCGCTTCATATTCATTGGGCATAAAAGATTCATTTTTATTTGTTTACTTAACACTACAAATCATAGGGAATCTTAGTCATATTCTGAGACGTCCTTTGTTTTGTATGTTTATGTATACATAGCTGAAGAGTTTGTTTGTTTGAGTGTGCTAATCTCGTATATGCCTGTTAAGAATTACTTGCAAGAACGCCGGGACCCGACCGATGTCGTAGGTAACAGCTAAAGTTTATAAAGACGAAGAGAACGTTTGCCAAAACTAATTTTGATGTCCATAATAACTAAATACTGTCTATAGTTTACGCGAGTAGTACACATTTAAATAAAACACTTTAACGGTTACACACTAAAACGCGATATATTAGTTACTAATATATCGCGTTTTAAACCGTTAAAGTGTTTTATTTAAATGCCCATAATAACTATTATTTCCGCTTTAGCTCTTGCAAACACAAAGTTAGGACGTTTTATGTAAATTAATTATGTAGAAATTCCTTGTATTTCTATTTTTTGTGCTTTTTGTGCCTTGTATTGCTATTCGTTATATATATTTGGTTGCTTGTTCGTATTCAAATGAAAATATTTGTATAATCTTCAACTATCAATTAAAGAATTAATGATAATCACAAAATTCTCGTTCTCGAAATTGTCACCTGCCGATTACTGTTTTAATTGCCGACAGATATGTCGATAAGAGAGTATCGACATTTATAGACTTCGGATACTGCACTAGCCAGTCGGGTTGCTATCTAGCTAATTAAGTATGTGCAACATGATACGATAACGTGATTTACATATTGACTCGATCTCCGTTGGACGTTTTCCAACTATAATAGTTTGAGTTGAACCTAGGGCTATGTTTGGTAGCGGTCTGATATAAACGCCGTGATCGCGTACGAACGCGTTTCACCTAGCGATATACCGAAGCTACTTATAATTAGTATTTTGTCATAATTAAGAGTTTTAAAGTTCAGAGCCATCATGCTGGTCATGATACCAGTAATATACCATATAAGAAGAGTTTATTTGTTTGAACGCGCAAATCTCAGGAAATAGTTATTGAAATAGATTATTTTTTATGTTGGTAAGAGCATTTTTTTGAGGAATGCTTTGACAAGTAGGAGTGAAGAAACAATGGGAAACGTGTAGAAAACGGGGACAATCTTCGAGGATGACCGTTGCGTGCGTTGCAAAAACGGCTTAAGGTACCCACAAAATATGTATAAAATAATTAAAACTTTAAATAAAACACTTTAACGGTTTAAAAGGCGATATATTAGTTTTTAAACTTATTTGAAAATGATTTTTAACTTCGGCCCGACGTTTCGGATGCTTTGCCGTGGTCACGGGGAGACCAATAATAACTATTATTGGTCCGTGGACCGGGGAATAATAATAATTATTATTATATGATTACAGACGCTTACCAGTCGCTCCTCTGTGGAGGCCCCGGGACGACAGCCCCGGGTACTCTCCCCCAAATGCCATCCTACTAATCATTGCATCGTAAATTAAAGAATCCTTCGATGCTTATCGAGGGGTCACGTAAATGATGTAACTGAGCACGGAATTTCTTAACGTTGACGTATTGTAACGCGGTCTGCGGCTTTATAGGCGACTATAGCCTTATGTCAAACGGCATTCCGCGCACGAGTCGTTTCTCGGTGGCTACAATAAATAGTGTCTATTTAAACGAAGTTTGCGTTTGGAGCCCTTCATTATCTTTCCTTTTGTCTTGTTACGTCTCAGTGCTATTAGTATATTTTATTTAGGTTCTGCTTTGTTTATATTGTTTCTCTGCGATCCAATTAATGAGCTATTTATTCTTCTTCTTCTATATTCTATTCTCTGGTTATTATTTCGTTAATAGAACCTTCAACGCCACATTGTATCATCATAAGAATGAATTAAACATTGATTATAGATTGAAAACATATTTCCGTGTTTTACGCATAATTGCCGATTTTTTTCAACCTGCATACATGCACCTCTCGCGGAATATAAAAAAATCATAAGAATGATCCTATCTCATGTCTAAAGCCTAAAATAAGTCGATAGCACTACTATAAAAGTCTCTAATATAATAAAAGAGTTCAAGAGCTTAGCTGTTCCAGTGTGGCTGGGTGTTCTTGGAGAACATGAGTGATGATAATGGGGATCAGTTTAACGTGTTCACCCCAGCACGAGGCCATTTTTGTACTACTATAGGGCATAAGTACTTGGTACAAAACAAACTTATAATACATGACTTAGTTGAATTGAAAATATCTTTACCAAGACTGGGCTGAGTGCAAAACTAATTATCAAGGCTAGACGAACATTGCAACAAATTCACTTTTATAGCGTAATTCTTTGACGGGCTATTCAGACTATCATCCAGACACCCACGAGATGGGTTATTCCAGGCATTCGTTAATGAAGCTCGGTTGCCTTACATGTAACTGTCAAATAATTCGAAGCAACATGTAGACACGTCGGTATTTTATATTGAGACTAGATCAGAGAAAATAGTGTATTTAATATCTTTGAAAGTTTAAATAATAAACTTTAGAAAAACGGTAACTACGGCTCGATATATATATTTAACTAATATATATCGCGTTCTAAACCGTTTCATTCAAATGAGGAGACTTTGCCCAACTGCGAGACATTAAAGAGGTTGAAGCGACAAAATGCTTCACGAAAGTCCCGAATGCCAAAGCACACAGCTTGTCATATAAAATGATCATAACGCGAGCGCAAAACAATACGATATCAAGTTATCGCAGGCTTAAGCTGAATAACTCTGTAAATTGAACCCCTTTATGAAGTTTTTCAAAGTCAGAGTCGATTATAAAAATATCATGTTACTGACAAATCCTCACCTCCGCCGAGGCTCGGTTTCTTTGAGTTTTTGTCACCACTGGCTCGGAACGCGTAAAATATTTTTACGAGTATTTGTTCCATATGTGGTACTGCACACACTGTATGCGGCAATAAAACTTGAGCTATTTATTTTATTCACATAACTCGTTTGTTTTATGTGTGTTTAGAGAAATCTCTTGCGCATATATAGATTCGCTATTCGCGCTTGTATTTCGTTTGAATTATAACGCGTAATAAAAATTTAATGTAAATACAGATTTGTAGGAATGTTTAAGATATGGGAGAAAGACTATCCAAACGCATTGTTAACGGTTTAAAACGTTTTTTTTTATAAGACGACGTTATAATATATCAAATTGACTTAATATATTTAAGAACTACGTAGCCACGGTTAAACACCAGAAGCAATGTAGATAAAAAAAATTAAACAGTCAAAGTGGTCAAAATATAGTTCTGTAAAATAACTACTACTGTACTTATATTGATAGGTAAGAATAGTAGTATTCATCTATACTAATGCTATAAATGCGAAAGTAACTCTGTCTGTCTGTCTGTCCGGCTTTAACTACGAAACTACTGAACTGATTTAAATGAAATTTGGTACACAGATATTTTAGAGCCTGATAAAGAACGTAGGTTACTACATATATAACTTTCTTCTTTGGATTTTTGAGAATAGGAGTACGAGTGGGAGTTAGTGTAGGAATCATGTGAGGTGGGAGTGTTACGGCAAAGTAGCATTTACAATATAAATTGGCTGCCTTAAATGCGCTCTTACATAAATGAATAAACAGCCTAATTAATTAAAAATTCTACCCCAAGTCACTATACCACGCGGACGAAGTCGCGGGCACAAAGGTTACGTTGAAATTAAAGACAAAAAGACAAAAGACATAATATACATTTAAAATATATATATTTTTAATGATAGAGGAGGACAGACAAGCATGGCGTTCACTCTATAGTAGGTGACATACAACGGCCTATAGCATCTAAACACGATGCGCTATCGACCTATTTTGGCTTTGGAATTTAAAAAAATATATAACTTGTAAATTCTGAATAAAATAAGTTTACATATCTACTAGCTGTGCCCAATCTATGTTGTAAACGCTACTTTGCCGCAACACTCTCACCTTACATCACTCCTACTCTAACTCCCACTCTCATTCCTACACTCACTCCCACTCCTATTCTCAAAAAGCCAAAGAAGAAAGTTTCATTGTTTTAGCTTCAACAAACACGAATTTCCCTACAAACTTTCATCCCCTTTTTCAACACCTATCAACCCTTTTTTGGCGTTAAAAAGTAGTCTTTTGGTACACAGATATTTTAGAGCCTTTCTCAGGCTCTACAATATCTTCTGCGAACTGGTGATGCTGCAGAAGGAGGCGGCTCAAAAAGCAAGAGAGATGGCATCTAATGACACACTGCGAGCGGCGAGACGGGGATCAAGGAGGCGACGCTATGTGCACCTCCAAGATCTTTGAGCTTTGGAGTCTTACAAACGTGTTCCCAGGGCTCCCTCTAAGCACCGTAGAGGGCTGGTGGTGTGTTTAGTGGTTCTGGTCCGCTATACGATTTACCACACTCCCCACGTTACGCTTGCCCGATATGGGCGTGCATTAGGCATTCACACCATCAGTAAAAAAAGGCTCGACAATATCTGTGCACCAAATTTTATTTAAATCAGTTCAGTAGATGCGGAGTTAAAACCGGACAGATAGACAGACAGACAGACAGAATTACTTCCGCGCATTTATAATATTAGTATAGATTATGCTACTTTGCAGGCGCAAACACACGTTCTATAAAAAAAGGAATGAAACAATTATTGTAAATTAGTAGTGCAGGTAATCTCATCAAAACAACCTGCGCAAGATTCTAATAATATCTTTTTAATCACTCCATAAGCTCGAATACAAAGTGCACAAGATTACTTGGCGAGTAAAACCACATTTTATAATTGGACGAAAGTTAAAAAACAACCGCAACGCGGGGTCACGGTCGTGGATTGAATTGCTATGCAAAATTAAAATATAAACTTGCTTACTCGCAGACAAGCTCGCATTAGGTTTTTACATACGCAGTAATGCACTTTGTTGTTGGTTTTTAAACTAAATTTAGCGTGTTTTGCACTTGAAGGCATTCTTTAAGGACGAAGAAAGAATTATATTATCTATACTAATATTATAAAACTGAAGTTTGTTTCGTTGTTTCATCGTGCTAATCTCAGGGAACAATACTTTGAATTGATTTAGTATCTATTAAGCATCACTCTACGACCAATACGAACGAAGAAATAAATGGGAAATGTGGAAAAAACGAGGAAAATTATTCATCCTTATGGTGTTTTCGTTGAGTTCGCTGTGAAAACGGTTCAAGAAACCAATAAATATAGGTATGAAGTAAGTAATTTCTCTATCAATGATGTAAAAAATGTCTACGTAAATATATGTCTCTCTTTTAATACTAACGTGCAAATACGACAGGACGGGTACAAAAACAAATTTTGATGCCCAAAATAACTATTCTACGCAAACGAAGTCGCTGGTAAAGCTAGTATAAAAATATAGCGCATACCTTGCACTTCATGGCTAAGACGAGTTGATATCGATGAGCAGTCAGTGCGTCTTTATACGATCCTTGGCTGAAGTAAGCAGCACCTAGATTTCCATGCGCCCGACATTCTCCGGCAGTGTCACCCAGAGACTTGGCCACAGCGAGGTCTTGCTGCATGTAGTTGATGGCGGCATCCAATTGGCTAAGCGCCCAATGTGCTGATGATAACGCACTGAACACAGAACCCCTAAAACAATGGAAAACTTTAAATAAAAATAGTTTCAGAATAAAGTACTGCCTCTCTGAATAAAATTCTAACAAACATTAGGTAATTTTTGAATCACCGCGTATTAGATCGTAAGTATTTGGGTTTCCATAAATTTTCATTGTCTTATTATAAAATGTCCTGGGCGCTGAACATCGTTTCATGTAAATTTTTAACAACACATAGCTGATCTGTCAATTTGCAGTTTTTAATGTAGTTAATTTGTCATTAGGACAAAATTTACCAAGAGACTGGTAAGGTTCCATATAAGCATTTTACAAAATACACAGTATGCAAGTTGTATGGACCAGCCCCGTCTTTCATATTGTATAGTTTGATACTTTTTTATGACCCCTACCCATAAACGGCAGCCAAATGATCTGCAAGACAATAAATTGGTGTTATGTAAAATATGGTAGATAGAGGATATCAAAATAGACATGATTCAAAATGTATGAAGTTCCTTCTTTAATTCTTCTCCTCCATTAATTTATTACTCATAGTAAATCAAGAATCTTATACAACGAGTAATCATTATAATTACCCAAGATAACATTAAACACAATAATGGAACAACGTAGTGCAGACAATCTCGTAGAAAAGTCATTATTCGTAGACTGTGTTCAGTCGATGTTAGTGGCTGTACAAGCTAATAAAACCCATTTCCAGAATTGATGTAACGCCTAAGTAACTAGACTCTAGAGGATTAATGGAATTCGCTTGCTCCAGTCACTTTGATGAGATTATGTGAGATTTACGATGCCAATTTGAATATAGGTGTAGTTTTAGAGTTTTGTAAAGACAAAGGTGCCTTTACAACTGTATATACAGTAATATTATAAAGCTGTAAAGTTTGTTTGTTTGACAGTGCTGATCTCAGGAACTACTAGAATCGAATACGAATCGAAAAATGTTTTGTCGATTAAAGCATTTAATGGGCAAGGTTTGAACTTGACGAATAATAGCAAAGTAACAGAGGGAAATGTGGATAAAGGAGTCATTTATTAATCTTTGAGGGTTTCCGTTGCGTACACTGCGAAAACTTGAAGATAACCCAAAAAAATAAAAAAAATAAACAAACAAAAAAAAAACCAAAAAATACGTTATTTTCACCACAATGTTACAAAATAAACTTAACCAAATTTAACAAAATGTAGCGAGAAAAGGCGGCCTTATCGCTAAAAAGCGATTTCTTCCAGGCAACCTTGAAAAATTGCAAAAATATGTGTTCAAGAATTATTTTTCTTCAAATAATTTAAATAAGTGTCCGCGAAAATATATTTTCTTTTAAGATTAACTCACAAGAACAGTTTTTGTGGTTTTGGTTCGAAATTTTGGTCGAACCTTTGTCGGGTCAGCTAGTTATACAATCGATTTTTAATTTATATCCTGCCATCATTTGCAAAAAAATGTGAAAAATATTAAATTTTCAAACTTTAAATGATTAAAAAAAAACACTTAACGGTTTAAAATTTGAAACTTAATAAGTTAATTACTTTGTTTATTGTTCGGTTACGACGCGACGGATGCTTATAGCGTACACACTATAGCTAATATACTAAGGTAAAATTAAATACCTTAGCTCTAACCCTATGTAACTTAATATGTTTCACTAACTCGCATTTAAAACATTGCATATAATGAGATGTTTTATTATTAGCCCGTGGATACTAGATACGCACGAAGTAATTTACTTTATCGCGAAATGTAAGTTAAGATAGTTGATTTATGGTACCGGCGCTCGGATCTACAAATCATTCATATCTTATGCAGACAAGAACTAACTAACCCCTTTTTATAAAGGATATGTTTTTATAAATTAAATTAAAGAGTTTAACAGTTTAAAACCTAAGGTTTACAAGGCGGAACATTGTTCCCAATTTATTTTAACTACGGCCCCACGTTTTAGACGCTTTGCTGCAGCCGTGGTCATGGCTGTTTGATGACCACAGCTGCTGCAAAGCATACAAAACCTCGGGCCGTAGATAAACTAATTTGTAGAAAAATTTAGTAATATATTTCGAGTTTGAAACCGTCAAAAGTGTTATTATTTAAAAGTGTAGGTGTACTATCCGTTCTGCTCGGATGGGGGGGCAAATATGAACCCATATTCAGAGGTCCATTAACACATATTCAGAGGTTAAAAATGCTTGTCTGATATTTTTATCACCATCCCTAATCGGGACTAAGGGTTTACCTAACGAAAACTTGCGAAATGATTTTAGCAAACAATATAGATGATTTAAGTAAAATTAAATGTTAGAAAATAATGTTGCTATAATTATGGACGATGTAAGTTCATAAAAGCGGAACACTAAAGCAAAGAAGAAAGAATTACTTAATTTGGAAACTGTAATACTTTTTCACATGAAGGCACTATATTATTTTAAAAATCGAAAATAAATTGAAAAAAATTTTGACTCAGGCAGGACTTGAACCGGCATCGTCGGCGTTCCGTACTGTTGCTCCACAAACTGAGCTACCGAGTCCGCATCGTCGATTTTTTTCAACTTATTGATCTGTTCTTTAAAAGAATTACTTCAATTCGCCATATCAACGAGTCATTCCGTATAAATCAAAACGTCCGAAATTCCGGCACAGATAATGATTACCGGCTAAGTGTACATAAATTAGTTCACAGTCGACGCTGAACAGGATCGCTGATTAAAAATAATAATGAATCTTGTACGAGTAATTTGTCTTCCTCCTATTAAGGCTTTGAAAGGCGGTATGGTGAGGTGTGAACCGTTTAATCTGAAACAGGATATCTCACGCGGAGACGGGCTGAATTATAAATCAAACGGTTTTGCATAGAGGTTAAGTGAGGGATTATTACTTGGAGTGATGATCGATGATCTATCGGTTGATATTTTTCTAACATCATTTTTGAGATAAACTTAGTTGCTTTGCAATTGTTGTTATGTATACTAATATTATAAAGCCGAAGAGTTTGTTTGGTTGTTTAAATTCTAATCTCAGAAACTACTGGTTCGAATAGAAATATTATTTTTGTGTTCGTTGGAACAACTATCGAGGCTATAAAATATCACAGTTCAATCAATAGTGGAAAAAACGGGAAAATGGGTTATTTTCATGTCTAAAACGATCCAGGATAACCAAAATATTTACTTAAGAATTATTAATTTTAAATATGTAATCTAAAATAATTTTTTAACAACTATTTTGAATAGTAATATTATGTCATAAAACCGTTAATTCAACTTGGCTCATACAAACTAGATTTAGCTGAAGTACTGTGTGAAATATAATGGGAAATCCCGTATCGATGGCGGCGAAAAAATTCCTGCATCCGTTTTCTATTAGTTCTTTTACAGCACAGTAGTTGATCAGAGTTCTGTGAAATCGAACATAACACCTCCTGCGCTTAACGCCATGCTAGGCGTTTAATCGTTACATCGTTGGCTCCAGAGGCGGTTAAAAGTAGTGTGGCTTATAAGAATTGCGTATGAAAGATACAAGGGGAAAATTAAAGGAAGGTTAAATTACAAACAATTATACGTAAAGATAAACTAAAACTTTGTACTTTAAGTTTAGATTTTTAGTTTGTCTTTATGTTAAAAAAAAAGTCAAAATTATTGATCCATGAACATCATACCTCAGTTTAAGTGAACAAGAACCGATCCTTAAAGCTGCTTCCAGCACATTTACAGCTGCCTGATACTGTCCCGCGGCGAGCAGTTCCTGCCCGACCACCTAAAACAAACAATAAAGCTGTAAATAAATATTAATTGAATTAATTAATGTTGTAAGGGTTTAACGACGGTTTTTATTAGTCAAAAGCGATCCCACCCGAGATCGGCATTACGCCAGGTATGTGTTCATAATTTAAGCAAAGATTAAAGTTTGCATGTTCGTTAATAAAATCAATAATTACCCTATTAAAGTTCGTCGGAATTTTAAAAGTTTTGTTATCTACAAAATTGCTTTTTGCGCGGATCCGAGGCTCGTTTCAAGATGTTAATATCCTGCTCTTGGGCCCAGGTTTCCTCGAGACGGGAGAGGGTTTAAAAGCTTAAGTCCACCACGCTAGTTCAAGCAGGCTGGTGGGCTGAATGGCTACTAATTTAGTGGACTGAGACGATTGCTTTAGCTCTACAAGGCACGAGGTAATTACGTCGAAACTTCGGTTTGGTACCTTGTTATTATATTATATGTATATAACATACATATAATTATAGATCTTGGACTTAAGCAAATAAATTTATCTAATAAACTCTTCTCCTACTATTCCAGGGCCAGTCTCAGTCAGCGCTGCTGAGTGTGACAAGCATTCAGCAGCGGAGCTTATCTATCTTTTTATATATTTCAATGACGCAATTTTGTCCTATCCAGGACTTGAACCCTGTAACTCGAGTACCGCAATCGAGAGCACTAACCATTAAACCAACCGGTTAGTTCAAAGACATATTATAACACATAATGCCGCCGTTAATATCTACTTAAATTCCTTTGATGATGCGATGACATCTTCTACTCGTAATAACATACAAAAGGTAAGATACATAAATGTGAATTTGAGTATCATTGTCCAAAGCAAAAAAGCGAGTCGAATTTTTAAAGCCCCATTATCTTTTGTCGATCCAATCGGGCCGCGTCGTTTCGGAAGCTGACATTTCGCGGTATAAAGCAATAGCTTGGAATATTTAGTGAACAGCTGAACTTCGACGCAGTAAATTTACGAGTATTAATACGTAAAACAGTACTTTGCGCTTCTTTTTTTGAAAATGCGCGGACAGAGGTTATAGTTTACAGAATTATTTTTAAGCCGGCTACACTCGGTATTATCTCTTTAATAGCTAATAATAAAACATTTCGCAAACATTTTCATCTTATTAATTATAACTGTTAAGTGTTACCCAGGACAAGTAGTTCCTGAGATTAGCGCGTTCAAACAAACAAACTTGTCAGCTTATATTTGTATAGGCGTATACAACTACAATACATAAAACCTATAAAAAGATAACTGCTAGCTACTCTATCATGTATAAACTACACCATTTTTTTCATTATTGAGGGCAATTATTTTAACTTCTGGGAGACCGCTTATAATAAACACCACATTAAAACAAGCTCTAAATCCTAATTTTATTCGACCGCTGCATAATTGGATATAGTAACGTAGGTATAATGTCATTTGGAGATAATTATGCTGAGTCACTTTTGCGAGATAATCTCGCGTGCGTTTTTTGTTTAACTTGATAATTTTTATACGAAAAAATGACATTGAAAATTGTCAAGGATAACTGCAAGAAAAAGGAAACACTAAACGTATAGACCTACGTGTAGACGTAATACAAATTTAAATAATACATTTAAATTATTTAATTACAGCCCGACATTTATCAGCCGTGGTCACGGGGAGACATGGCTGCTGCGAAGCATAATATGTAAAAATGTATAATATATAAATTTAAGTAATACATTTCGCGTTCTAAACCGTTAAATGGGATTTTTTTAATAATCACATTATTTAACTAAACGGATTAATTTCTGATAATCAGCTAAGTCCTAATCGAATTAATAGCTAAACATTTGATTAAGCTCGAAAGATCCTGCGTTCGAATCGTGTATTTTTTCTTTAGTGTCCCTGAAAACATTTCTGTGTCTCAAATAAATAAAATCTAAAGAAAAGATAGTCCATTTTAATAATTCTCCCCTCCGTTTTATTGTATGTAAATCCATTGTATTCGCTTATTTATAGTGCTTTGATCATTCAAAGCCCGGTCGTTGAAACCGAAATCTGTTAAGATGACCGACACGAGGTGGAATGTATGCAAATGAGTACTCAAGACTTCCTGATAGCCGAGTAGTGTAACAAGACGGGAATGTTTTACAGATTCGGTAATAGAAAGGCGTCTACTTAGTAGCAGTAGTAGATATAATAGTTGAATACAGGACCGGATTTAGGAAAAGATAACCGGGGCCACGGGCTTTGATTAATATTATACATTGATTATATTTGGCTAATATTTTGGAGCCAGAGGGCATCCGCTCCTTTGTTGCTCCTAGGCTTCGAACACTTAACCACCAGCCACGGCTAAATAGGAGGATAAACATATATGATTTTCTTGTACAAAAAAATATTTTAAATACAAGTCGTCCTTATTACAACCCAATTTTCTTTGAATTTTATTAATTACAAAAAGCTAATGAAAGATCAGCAATATTGTTTATTAATTAATCAATAGATGTATAATGTACGTCATAAATCGCATTTACTTAGAAACTTAATCTAAGTAGCCATTTGTATACATAAAAGACTACATACATACATACATCCAAGAAATATTGTATAATAATAAAAACACTACAAAAATTATTCTAGATTCAAGGGTCAATGAACTCTTAGGGCAACTGTAATTAAGTTCGTAGTGGATCTTGCAAATGATGTTTAGCACTAAAACTAATAAGCAAAGGTAATTCTGTATAATTCTGCCTATCATTAAACATCTTAGGTCCGCTTCTTGACCTAATCTGCTTGACTTGGCCATTTCCGATACATGCCCATCGCTGCTTATAAAGCATATTTCCTTGAATGATTAAACCATAGCTAAGAGTGTCTTAATCGTAAATCTAAGTGGTTCATTAATAGGATTTTTTTTTTATAAACAGCGTTTTATAAAAATTAACTATATATTAACATGCGACGGGGAAATTCAAATCGTTAATAGAGTTTCATTTTATATCTACTTCTTGTGTAAGAGTGTGTTTAAGTAATATTCTTTTTCTCCCGACGATAACAAGTTCGAGGAATTGAAAATCGATTTTAAATTTAAAAAATTTCGACTCCGGCAGGATTCGAACCGGCATCCACAGCCTTCCGTGCTGTTGTTCTAACCGATTGAGCTCAGTAGGAGAGTTAGATATACAATTTATATAGTGTCATTACATTTCAAGCACCTCCGATTTATAATTAATAATCTACCAAGACAATTTTTTTTAGAAAATTAAAAAGTAAATAGCGGCTTAATAAATAAAAAAATATTAAAAAGGGTTACTTACATATCCAACTATATTTGTGCAAAATTTTATAAATTTATACTAAAAATCATTTCCAAATAAGTTTAACGTTTAAATATCGCGTTTTAAACCGTTAAGTATTTAAATTTATACTCATATATAAAAAAGACACAGATTTTGGATCTGCAACCGACATTTCCAATAGTGCGAAGTAACAGCTATAATTTTGGGGAGGTTCACAAAATAAATAATATCCACGCAGACAAAGTCGCGGGCACAGCTAGTAAATTATACAGAGCCTTATTGTAGTGAACGCAACTTTACGAATTGCACACTTAAGTAAGTCTATACAGCCATTCATTGTTAAATATTTTCGGGGCCGAAATGTGTCCAGAGTGTCTGATCTTTTGCGGAGACCGGTGACAGTTTAAAATAAACATAAAATTCGAAGCATCGACAGCCGTCTCGCGAGCCGGGTTGCCATGCTTCAAAATGACAGGGCTTTGGGACCTGTTTCCACGTGGATTTATAGGAGAGACGAAGAGCTATTTTAAATAAGTTTAAACCTGTTGAGTTTTTGAACCGTACCCTTGGCTCAATAGTTAAGTCAAATGTCTGTATTAGAATCCTGAGTTTCTTTTACTTCTATAAACTATGTTATTATAGGTATTACAAAAACGCAATCTTTGAGATAGAAATGATTACCACGGTCACTAAAAAATTTGTAGCGTAGTAACTAATCACATTCTCAGAAGCAGCTATGATAGAGAAGGGCCCAACCATATAACATCTCTACAAGACACGTTGTCGTTACTTGCTCCACAGACTGAAGACCAACGAATGACCACTCGATTAAACTTAACGTGTTTTCATAAGTATATCATCGGGTCATCAATCGATCAATAATTTCGATATTTCTACCACTGATTTAATTCGTCGGGTCATATAGATATGAATATCCATATGACCCGACATAACCGCTCATTAACTCCATGTTTCAAAAAATTATAGTTAATGGGGATCGAATCCACGACCTGGCTGGAAACGAGACCATTAAAAGCTTTACAGCAGTAATGATCATTCTACAACTGTTTAAGTAATCTACAACTAACGCATCATAAATCAAAATTAATCGACGACACTTACAGATATCAAAACAAACGGAGACTGATCCAACTTCATAGCTTCCAGCTGTCTAAATGTAGGCTCGAGTGTGGTTCGCAGTGGGGATTTCAAGGAAGCTTCCACCAGCGCTGCCAGCAACTGCCGTGATGACGGTTCCACGCCCAATCCTGAACTGAACGCCGCCAATGCTTCGCCATGACGTCCAAGACATTGAAGAGCGACCCCTTAAAGGATGTATAAGTTTAAAATTAACCAACACAGTGATCTGTGTCTTCCAAACCAGCAAGGTTTGAGATGATTTAAATGATGTTGTGTTCTTAAGACTTCAACACAACATCATCAGATAAGGTAAGACCTTTTCCTCTTCGTGAATAAGGAAAAAAGCTACCTATCTCTACTTATACTTATTATATTTGTATTTTTTAAATATTTTTGGATCCAAAAGCGAAAACTTTTCATTCAAAAAATTAGGTTCTCAATTTGTTTCGTATATGTATTTTTTAAGTTTGTCCTTATAGCTATTTGTTTTTTTGTACCTTGTCGATAGTACGCTTTCGGCCAATTCGGACACAGCTCCCTAGCTCGCGTTGCATCTTGAAGTGCTGCTGCAAATTGACCTTGCTTTAGCCGAGCAGCAGATCTGCAAACAATGATAAAATATTGTTTCATAAGGTCCTTGTAATTGCAGGCCAACCCATTTTTAATATAGTTAAATATGTTTAAAAGATATATCTGGATTAATATATATATTTCAGTTGCAAAACAGTTCAGCTGCACGTTCACGACCTTCTGAGGATCGAACCCAGGTCCCGTTGGTTATTAGCCATACATTGCTACCAATAGCCAAACGTGTTAAATACATTCACAAGTTGAATTACAAAAACTATACCTATTACTATACAGAATGTGATTGGCCGGGTCTAGAGTTAAGGCATCTGTGTAGAGAGTGACAGCCGTGGAGAAGTCTCCAGCTTGGCAAGCCGCGTTCGATGCTCGAACTTTCTCAACGAAAAGAGCCCTGGAAGCAGCCCCAAGCGACGCTGACCCTGTGGGCTCGATCTGAAACAAAAGTATATTTTCAATAAGTTTTAGCATTTAAATGAAACCTGCTTCAAACGGAAATAAATTCACCTAAGTGTAGACTCGCGGCCACCATAGACAATATTTAAGTTTTTAAATAGAACCTGTTGGAGCCGACACCTTTTATAAGTTCTCTTCTCTAAGGACTCTTATATAGCCGTGCCCGCGATTTGGTCCGCGTAGAATAGTTATTTTGGGTATAAAAATATAATATTTATGTAATTGACGTTATATAAAGACGTCGGTCGGCTCCCATCGTTCTTGCAAATTAAACTTAAAAAGATAAATATACTGTCGAGGACATTTTTTACATCGTTTAAAGAAGAATCATTCGTATGTTTCATACGTATTTTTGATTTCAAAATCTCTCGAAATCTTAATAAATTTCCCCACTTTGTTTCAATGCTTTTTCGCTCCTATTGGTAGAAGATGATGTTATGTCTGTTATGTTTTAATGGCGCGTTCAAACAAAGAAATAAATAAACAAATTAACTCTTCCACTTTATAATATTAGTACGGAACATAATTAAGAATCGGACAAAAATCCTGCGTCACTTGTGTCTTAGATGGCCCTACGATATTCAGAAGTGTTTCCTTTTTATTAAATTTAACAAACTGTTTAGTAGGTCCTTTGGTTTAGTACAACGAAAGCTAACAAGTGATAGTTACGTTGTAAATCGACCCCGAATTCAATGAATCTTATTCATATCTCTCTCTTTAATTGGAAGGGACTTTAATAGTCTCGTTGATTTATTGTATTCCAGTTTGAGTCGGAACTCGGAATCGACGAAAGTAACGTTACTTTTATTATTTATTGCTTTTAAATAAGTATTTAGGCATGTTTTATGTGAATAAACATAGGCGATTCGAATCATACGAAAATATTGGAACGGGTGAGAGGTTTTAAGAATTTGAATGTTGGCAGTTAATTTTTATGATTTCCGATAACTACTAAAACGACCTTATTACTGTGATGAACTTCATATGAGACAAGCTCTTTGGAGCAAGCATGTCTTAAAATAATTAACGGGTCGCCGGTTCGATTTCCAAGATCAATGTGTTTTTAAAATCATGTCTGGAAGTACGTCAGCAACTGTTTCGATCTCCGTGCCGATTTCGGAATGTACAAAGCAAAAAATAGGACGGCAGCGCACCTTTTTATTATTTAATAATCATGTTATACATACAATAGGTAATAACAATTTTTTCCTTTAGTAAAAAAATTAATCCATCTTACTAAAATCTAATACTAAGTTTATTTCTAACAATTTTAAGCGCTTCTATTAACACAATTTATGTATTAATTTTTCAACTCACGTCGTCATATTTTATTAAATTCAAACCCCAAAAACCTTCTAGGAAAGTTTCCGTATCGCATTCCAAAGTCAATAAAATGATGAGTGGCTGCGATAAGAGTGTGAAAGAGTTATACAGGCAGGGGTTCTTTATTAATAAGGCAATAAAAGCACAATGTCAAACTGCTACTGAATTCCAAACACGAGCTGTCATAGAATAAAGCTATTTAAGTAGTTATGGCATTCCGTTACCACCAAATTATTTAGATAGGAACAACCAGAGAGACATTGTATGGGATGTTGATTAATGATAAATATTTATATTATTATTCATATGTTTGGAAAGCTTATCTATACTAATATTATTATAATATTATAAGTTTGTTCGTTTGACTGCGCTTATATCAGAAATTACTGGTCCGAATTGAAAAATTATTCTTGTACTGCTTTCGGCTATAAAAAATCTCGCTGCAACCAATACGAGCAATGAAACACTGAAAAAATGTAGAATAAAAACTGGGAAAATGATAAATCTTTCAGGATTTCGGTTGCGTGCGCGAAAACGATCTAAGATTTTTTATGTCAAATCAAAAATTATTAAAGAAATGAGTAGAGTAATTTTATACTGTTAGGAAAAATACAGAAAAGAAGTTAGTCATTTTTTAAATTTAATTCCTCAAATGTACAATGTGTAATAATCATAATATTATAATGAAAATAATGCCAGTCCAACCACTTATCATTCCACGGGATTCGAAAACGTTTCGAACCCCTTTGCAACTTCGAATTCGAAATTCGAAGTTGCAAAGGGGCCCAATGGTAGGTGTACACTTGCTTCATTTTAATTTAAAAACAATTATATATCTATCCTTAAATAAAACACTTATAATAGAATATGTATTAAAGGTCATATTCTAATGCCATTTCGGTTTGAAACGCGAAATATATTACTTACCACGTCTCCCCTAGCCACGGCTGCTGCGAAGCATCCGAAACGTCGGGCTGTAGTTAAAATGATTTTTAAATAAACTAATATATTTCGCGTATTAAACCGTTTCATTTAAATGTGTACTACTCGCGTAAACTATAGACAGTATTTAGTACCATATCTACTTCCATTATTACTTGATCACTCTGTGTCCTTGACTTTTATTTACGCTGAGTGTCGTCACACTCATCAGAGTACAAAGGGATCGATTGTTGAGTTTTTTAAGGGCCAAATCCCTTGAATTAGACGCGGAGCGGTGTTTACCACCTGTGCTATCTGCTCGGGCGCATCGGAAGCGACGCTTTTTTTCTCACGAACCGCATTCCCGCCGTTGTCTATGGATGCCGAGAAATTGCTTTGTGTCTAATGGCCGGATATTTTATAAGAGTATTTGAAAATTTATATTGAAACTTCTATTATACATGGAGTCCAATTTATGGCAGGTGAAACACTCCAGCCTACAGCATCTAAACGAGATGCGCTGTCAGCCTATTTTGACTTTGTATATTCGGAAATGGACAGACTGAAACCGAAACGTGATACTACCTTGTATGTGTGCACATAAGTGCGGGCCACGGGCCACGATACCTGGGTTGCAAGCCTATGTCGTGTTACTTCGGTATTTTAAATTTTACAAAATAAAATTTTTGAAAAGTTTTCACGGGTCCTAATTTAATGGAGCTGTGTAAGCTTTTAAAATCTCCTTTGTGAGAATACCAGGGATTTACAAAGCCCACGTCTTATGGGATATTAATAGATAGTTAAACTGATTTTGTGTTTGCTATATTTTTTTGTTTGTTATTAAACCGCACCAAACTGACTTTACGTGTATATTTTCGTAATGTTACTGATATTTGCGTATATGCTATACGAATTATACATCTTATGATTCATAACAGCTAATTTATAATATGATTATCATACCCAAATCCTAATATAAAGATTAGTGTAATCTTATTATAATATCATATTCGCATTGTGAAAATGGCGCGGTCGGCCATTTTGAAAAGAGATCGTTGTAATCGAACGCTTATTCGCTTTATTAAAATTTCGTTCAGAGAGGCGCCTGATAACACAGAGCGACGTTTTGTATAATTATTTTTCTCAACGATCTTTCGTTCATCTGAAATTTGAAGCCCGCCCTCAGACGATTATTAAATATTAAATTGAGAAATGGATTGGTATCGTGCTAATTGGATTTTGTTTCTTTGACAAAATACTCTGTTTCTTTGAAATATATATTTGATTTTCAGGCTTGGTTGTAAAGCTATGTGTGTGCTTACGTTAGGGAAGGGATAGGTTCAGGTCCTGAAGAAGCATAAAGTTTCCCGACAAAACCCATTTCCCATCGTGAGGCACGGGGCGAACACATTTTTGTATCCGCCATTGGTCGTATTTTTTACTGAAAAGGAGATGATCAGACTTCTGTGCTCTGCCTGACCAAATTAATATATTGTTTCCCGGAAATCCACCCCCTCTCGCGCTTAACGCATGCAACACGTTGAACCAATTAGCTACAAACCACTAATAATCATTTTCTTAATATTTTTTCCTCCAGTTTACTCGTTTCTTTACGAAAATTCTAGAGTCACGTTGGTAGATCTAAGAACACAAAAAACAAAAGACGAAAGCAATCACGTGAAGATACAAATTTGGGCAGGTAAGGAATAGGGACCGTGACTTTAAAAAGGTGGAAAAAAATGCCGTCCGCGTCGTCGGAAACCTTTGTCTACTTTTTTTCCACCTATTTTCATATTGTGTGGGTGTAATTACAGATCTTGCCTGTCGAGAATAAAACAATTACGGCGTGGTTTCATTTTGAATAAAACGCATTTGCCGCGCAAAATTAAAGAAATGTCTAAAGACGAGAATTGGATACATGTTATTATTATTACAGTTAAAATACCTACTTTTGCCTGTGAATATATTCTTTTCTATGTTTCGAAAGTATTTTTCAGTTAAGTTGTGTTCGTTGCAGGAAATATAATTAATTTATGTTCATCGTAATTATTCGAAATTGGAACAAAAAACATTGGCAAATGTGGAAAAAGGGGCCATTATTCATCGTTGAGGGCTGATAACGATTCAAGAAACCAAAAAATATTTACAAAAGAATGATTCCTCTTTAAATGATTTACATGAAAGTTCGCGACACTAGAATAGCTTGCAAAAAGACGTGACGTGGACGACGTCGTAGGTAACAGCTATAAATTATAAAGCTGAGGAGGCTGTTTACAAAAGTAAATTTTGAAGCCTATAACATCTGCAGTACTTGTTTATTATCAGGCAAAGTTATAAATGCTTCGATCCTCTCAATTTGACTGTATTTCTCGATTCACAGACTATTGTCTGAGGCACGAATGCTATGGATTCCAGACATACTTTGACAATTACTCGTGAGTGAACCCTCACCTTCTTAATTTAAACGACAGAGATAAGTGGTCATCAGGTTTCCTTGCGAACGTTTCGTGAGGTATTTTCTTATATATAGGATTAAAAGGATTATGTACTAATTTTACTTAATTGTATCATTGATATTATCAATAATACAATATTTAAAATTCAACAAACAGAGTAATCAAACTACAGCTAATAATTAACTATCAAATAGCTTTTGTAATGTTTCATTGATTATAAATCAGTATAACGTTATGATTGAAACATTATTATTTTTCAAAGATTGGACACTTACATCT